GAGAGAGAGAGAGAGAGAGAGAGAGAGAGAGAGAGAGAGAGAGAGAGAAGAAGAAGAAGAAGAAGGAACGGTTCCTTTAGTTTCTGGAACGAGTCCGGTGAGAAACACTAACAAAAGAAATCGCGGAGACTCATTAAGCAGATGACAGCGGATAAATAACAACGGCATGTACAAACGTGGGACTTGATGGAGCGCAATAGCATCTTGGGAATAATTATTGAATTGAAATCGTTTCGGGATACTTTAATGTCGAATATAATGAGTACGGCGATCCTGTGTAAAGAAGGGCGAGTAGAGAAAAGCACAAGAAAAGTTATCGCGGGCAACTTGTAATTTAACAACTCGAGGTTGTTTGAGGAGGATTTTTGGGATCAACGGCGCGCGATAGCATCTGTCTGTAGCGCTCGATGGTGACAAAAATAAGAGAGCAAGAATAATTTTTTATTACCGGAATACGCTACACGACGTAGCGGCAACTCCCCGCGGTTTGTTTCAGCGATAAAAGATAATTGATGATCGCTTCGTTGATAAAAATATTACCGCCGGCTTCAATGACGGCAGGACTTCGGAACGCCGAGATTTCTTCGCTTACTCTTACGGAAGAGTGAACAGAACGGCTTTCGACAGTCCGGGAATTCCTCTCGAGTCATCAGGGTAAGCTGACATAATAGAACGCGCATTCCAAGGATAATAGGAAGGGACGCGTGAAATATCGGTATCATTTGGTCGACGACCAAAAGACAGCTACCGATTTTCCGGGCGATTTCAATCGAACTGAGCCTTCGATAAAAATGTTTCCCGCTGCACGACACGTGTCGCGTGCGCGAATGTGATTTTCTTCCCGCAGAAAAAGAGCGCTAGGTCGGGAAAATCGTGTCAATTAAAGACTCGACAAGTGTAATTGCTCATCGAATTTATATTAATATTAATATTAATATTAATTTAATTTAATTTAAATTTATTTATATTTATATTAAGGCGATGCTGGGAATCTTTACCGAAAATATTGACTTTCCTTTGCAAAGTTTACTGGCGCTGCACAGAACTGCAAATATTCTTACCAATAAAAATACGTGTCAGGGTAAATTGGGACATTGCTCAATATATGACGAAAACAAAATATTTCAAAGTTTACATTTCACACACACACACACACACACACACACACACACACACACACACACACACACACACACACACACACACACACACACACACACACACACACACACACACACACACACACACACACACACACACACACACACACACACACACACACACACACACACACACACACACACACACACACACACACACACACACACACACACACACACACACACACACACACACACACACACACACACACACACACACACACACACACACACACACACACACACACACACACACACACACACACACACACACACACACACACACACACACACACACACACACACACACACACACACACACACACACACACACACACACACACACACACACACACACACACACACACACACACACACACACACACACACACACACACACACACACACACACACACACACACACACACACACACACACACACACACAAGTGTAAATGAGCCTTCAAGTAAATATTCGTCTGATACAAAAGATCCGTATCTTATACATACTGAACGCGAGTTTGCTCCGCTGAGAAAAGCTTCATGGGCTTTCTACTATAAGCCGTTAGTCGTTACACATAACGTATAAGAAAATCCAAAAAACGTATAAGAAAATTGCAGTCTTTCAGAATAGAAACGAAGAATTCTGATTGGTAGATTCTCTTATGCCTTATGTGTTACGACTAACGGCATATTGTGGAAAGCCCATCAGAGAACATTGCTGTATCTTTACATCTGAATTTAGAAGCTTAAACAAATGGGAAAAGTTTAAAGAAAGACTTCTATACATGCGTGTAGGCGTTGTCCGCTAAATACGGTAAAAGCAATAACATAAAATCTATACATACAAGAAGTACGAAGAGGATAGCGTGATTGTGTCGATTGTCTTTAATGTCCGACATTAATTTCAATCCGGAGTATCCTGAAGTTCGCCGTTGTACCTTGAAGTCCGATGGAATTTGCGGGGTTAATGTAGAATCGAAATTTCGACTCGGGCAGCATCGTGCACACGTCAGTCTATATCTGTGACACTTTGATATTGAAATTCAGGCCGTTCCGAAGCCACTAATACCCGGCCTCGCGCCGTTCTCCGCGTGAGTGGCTCGTACAATAATCATCGCGAAACCGAAGGAACGCGACGCGGGGACGCGTCCGTTTTACAGCGTTCACTGTCGTCACGCCAACTTTCAAGCAAATGTGTAAATCGACTTTCCATCTGTGCGATAACGCGCGCTTTCCATTGGAAATCAACGGCACGTCCAATATCGAGAGACTGAAGCGTTCGAATCCAAAGCGAGGGAAGATCGATAACATTTCTGTGCTTTCGTGGCTTCGTTTAATTTCAGCGGCTTTTACGGTATGCGGCAAGCATTCCCTTGGGCACACGGAAACCAATAAGACCGATTAGTCCGGTATCAGAGACAATTGGCGCCCGCGAATCGGGCAGGCTCCTAACAATGGGTTTGCAACGCCGATAAAGTCGGATACGTAATAAATGCGCATGAGATCACTGAGAGAAAA